ATTTATTTATTTATTTATTTTTAAATTTTTTACTTCAAAATACACCATGCTCAACTGGAGGGTAGATATTGGGAAGTAGAAAGAACATATTCCAATGGGAAGGGGAACAAGGTGGGGGGGCAGAAAAGGAATGAATAAGGGATTAAAAATAAGAATGGAAGGAAAAATGGAAACAAAGCTTTTGTAAATGGGGAGAGGATGAAAGGTTGAAGGAAGGGAAGGGAATGGGAAAAAAAGAATTAAGATATATTATCAGGTACAAATTCCCTATGATGAATGTGATCACTTTGTATGATCAACAGGTACTAATGAAAAAACAAAACAAAATATACCATACCCCTAGCAACAATAAAGAGTTTAACATATGCAAAGAACTGAAAACCTGTAAAGTGATCTCTTACACTATATCAGAGTGAAAGTAGACCAACATCAGAAACATACTTATAATACAATAACTTTTTTTCTATTAACTTTTTTGTATAAGGGAAACCATGCAAAAAAAGTCACTTAATTCTTGCCAGGTGTGATGGTGCATGTCTGTAATCCCAGCACTTAGAAAGCTGAGGCAGGAGGACTCCTGCAAGTTCAAGGCCAGTCTAGGCTACATAGCAATACCCTGTTTCAAAACATGCAAAAGGAAATCACATACTTCTAACAATGTTCCTATCTTAGTTATTTTTCATCACTGAGACACAATATCCGACACCTATAAATTAAAGGAGAAAAGGTTTACTTTAGCTCATAATTTGTAAAGGTTTCAGTCCCTAGTCAGCAGGCTCCAAGACAGGACAGCATGGCAGAGGGGCCTGGCAGAGGAAAAATGGCTCAAAGCATGGTGATGGGAAGCAGAGAGATCAAAGGGGGAGGGAGGAAATAAAACTTTTCAGGCCTCACCCATTATGACCCACCTCCTAACATCACTTTAGCTATAAACTCGTCAGTTGATGCTGAAGACTGAAACTAGACCCATATCTTTCACTATGCACTAACCTAAAATGAAAATGGATCAAAGAGCTAAATATTAAAACAGAAACAGTAAATCTGCTGGAAGAGAGAATGGGTGGAACACTTGAGGACATAGGAGGTGGCAAAGACTTCGTGAACAAAACCCAGACGGAAACAGGAAATACTACAAAGAACCAACAACTTAGATCTCATCTTATTACAAAGCTTTTGCATAGCAAAGAAATCACCAACAGTGAAGAGACAACCCACCATGTGGATAAAAATTTTTGCCAGCTCTTCCTACTATCTAGAATATATAAAGAGCTCAAAAAAATCAGAATCTCCCAAATTTAAAGGCCCAACCCAAAAATGGGCATGTGAAACGCATGGGCATTTCTCAGATGAAGAAATAGAAACAGCAAATAAATATATGAAAAAATGTTCAAAATCACTGTTCATTCGAGAGATGCAAATTAAAGCTGAGATTCCATCTCACTCCAGAAAGAATGGCTACTATGAAGAAATCAACCAATAACAAATGCTAGAGAGGCTGTGGGAAAAAAGGAACCCTGCTCCATTGCTGGTAGGACTGTACACTGATGCAACCACAGTGGAAATCAATGTGGAGATTCCTCAAAAAACTAAAACTAGAGGTTCCATTTGACCCAGCTATTCCCCTTCTTGGTATCTTCCCAAAAGAATTAAAAGCATCCTACCACAGTGATATATGCACATCCATGTTTATAGCAGCACAGTTCGTAATAGCTAAATCTTGGGAACAACCCAAATGTCCATCAACTGATGAATGGATAAAGAAGATGTGGTGGGGTTTTTTTACACAATGGAGTACTACTCTGCCATAAAGAAAGATGAGCTTGGGCCGGGGATTTAGCTCAGTGGTTTCACCGCCTGCTGTACAAGCGCAAGGACCCAAGTTGGATCCCCAGTACCAAAAAAAAGAAAGATAAGCTTGTGACATTTATAGCTAAAATGGATGCACCTTGAGACCATACTCTTAAGTGAAATAAATCAGACATGCATGTTTAAATACCTCATTGTTTCTCTGGTGTGATAAACTGAAAGTGGAAATAAGGGCTAAAATGTATACTGGATATTGGGAAATGGGAAGAAAGTGTTCAAATGGGAAGGGGAACAGGGGAGGGGAAAGGAAGGAAGGGACAAGAAGAAAAGGAGTGAAATCGAGGGGAAAATGCAAACAAAGCTTTTGTACATAGGTAGGGGAGGGGGGCTTAAGCGGAGGGGGGATGGGGAAAAAAAGGCAGGAGGTATTGTGTACAGCTCCAAATTCCCTATCATGAGCGTTATCATTGTGCGCGTCTAAAATGTACCAATAAATGTTTTGCTATTTAAAAAAACCTCATCAGTGGACTAATCCCCCTATGATCCAATCATCTTCCCAAAACCCCACCTATGAGCACATGAAGCTTTAGAGGGACATCTAGACATAGACCCTAACAGTTTCCTTTGTACAAAACAACTTGGAAGTGCTGCTTTTAGATTGCCTGGAGAACCTGTTACTTTAAATGAAGTTAAATAAGCAAAAAAATATTTATCTACTTACCTGAAATATCTTCAGTGGTGGTATATCTTCATCCTTGAAAGAGTGTTGACTTTTTAAAGTCAATTTCTTCATTATAAGTTTGGGGCCTACAGTGTTGTGCCAATTATTTATTGCTACCTAACAAACCACCTCCAAACAACAGGTACATAATAGTGCATGATTCTGTGCCCTGGCAGTTTGGGCTGGGCTTAACTGAGCAGTTCTTCTGGTTTTGTCAGAGCTCCCCTATGAATCTAGAGTCAACTGCTAATCTGTTGTCCGGTAGTGGAGGAGGGCAGGCCTCACTGACACACCTGGCAGTTGACTCAACCTTTGATTGCAATGACAGGGATGACAGGCCTAGTGTATCTCATGATTTAGGAGGCTAGCCTGAATTTATGTGGCAGCTCAGCAGAACCAAAATCAGAAAGGAGAAACATCCCAAGGTTTCTTAATGCCTACACTTGGAACATCACTCTGCCACGTTGTGTGTGTATATGTGTGTGTGTGTGCGAGTGCATATGCGCTCATGCATATGTGGTTACTGGAGATTGAATTCAGGGCTTTCAAACTGATCTACACCCCAAGGCCCTTTTTTAATTTTAATTTTTGAGACAGAGTTGTGTTAAATTGCCCAGGCTGGACTTGAACTTGCAATCTTCCTGCCTCAGCAATCCTAGCACTCCAGTATATTCTATTGGCCAAAGTAACATACACACAACCAGCCCAGATTCATGAGATGAAAAAACAGACCCTACATTTTGATACAAAGAAATGCAAAGTCACATTGCATAGAAAAATAAATTTAAGGGCTGGGGATTTAGCTCAGTGGTTCTGCTGCCTGCCTCGCAAGAGCAAGGACCCGAGTTCGATCCCCGGTACCAAAAAAAAAAAAAGAAAGAAAAAGAAATTTAAGAAAGGGTAGAAAACTATGGCTATTTTTACAATCTGAAACCGCTATCTTAAGCTGATTAATGCTGGTTTGGGTTTTTTAAAATTTTAGGGCTAGGGATTTAGCTCAGTGGCACTGCGCTTGCCTCACAAATGCAAGGTCCTGAGTTCGATCCTCGGTACTGGAAAAAAATTTTATTAGTACATGTTTGCATATATAATGATTTCATTCATCACGAGGAGTTGGCACGTATATGTAACACATCTTAATTCTTTTTATGTCCCCCTTCCCTTCTCTTTCCTCTACGTCTTGGTTCCCTTCCCATTTGCAAAAGATCTACCTCCCTGTTTCCCGTTATCTATTTCTTATTTTACTCTTTATTTATACTTTGGGTTTCTCATAGCAAATATCAAGCAATAGT